TATTTTTGAGTTTCACAAATTATTCATCTTCTACCCAATTTCTTCAATCCCCAAAGCAGCAGAAATCCAAAAAAGAAAAAGCATCGCAAGTACAACTGGCACTAATTTATCTCATTCCAGTCTGATTTCTTGCCTGCCTGCTCTGTGCTTTCTTAAAATTATTTGGTGTTTTGCTAAAAGTGCAGTAATTGTCTCCCCATCTGTATAGCCTTCTAAGCAAACTATTCCATACTCTATGGCAATAAAGGAGGGGGTGCCTAGGCAGTCTTGTTTGTACACAGTGATCCCACCCTCTTCCCAAATACTGTTTGACTAGAGATGAATCTGAATCTAAGAAGAGATAATGGGATTCTCTTCTAGGCTTTTGCGGCTGGCGTCTGGAAGAAACAAATTGTGAGGCAGTGCTGGATGTGGTTAAGAGGGTAGGTCTGGATTCAGTGAACTGGGTAATCTTGGGCAAGTTACTTATCTGCTTTGAGCCTGAGTTTTCTCGTCCATAAAATAGGGATCGAAAATGTTTTCACAACCAAGAACATTTTCATACCCCTAGGCAGCAAAACCTAACCCACCTGAATTCATTTGGTGACAATGACCTGACCAGAAGTTATGTATTGATTTTGTCTATCTCTTGGTTTGAATATTTACATTTTATTCCTGCAGAAATAATAATATGTATGATTATGGAATCTAGCCTCGAGAGTTTTGGAAAGGGACTGTGGACCAATGGTTTCTAACTCATGTTTTTGTTTTGAGAATTAAATGAGTTAATATATGTAAAAGTGCTTAGAACAAGTGCTTGGCACATGGTAAGTTCTCTTAATGATTTTTACCTTGTCTATATAGGTGTTACTTTCTTGCAAGGAATGACTCACTAAGACAGGAACCTATTAAATGATAGACCTTGTCTTAAGCCTTGGGGACATGGTAACTTTATGAGCAAGATGGGCACAATTACCTCCCTTTTTGTATATAACAATCTCCATTAATTAAACAGGAAATTAAAATAAAATAAGATGATTGCTAATAAAGGAAGAACTCATCATTAAGGTATCAAACTTAAGGTCTCCCTAAGAAGTGGCGTTTGAAGTGAAACACAGAAGTTTATCAGATGAAGAGATAGGAGAAGATTGTACCAGGCAGAGGAAAGAGCTTATGTGAAGGCTTACAGGAGAGCTGAAGAATTTGGGTTCCTGTTTCCTTTGTGTTGCTCCAAGTCCTCCAAATTACAGGAGTGGGCCTCCCAGGACCAAAACTTGTCATCTTGGGGAGGCTCCTTGAAAACTGAAGGCAAAGAGAAACAAACAGGAATGCATGTTCCCAGTGGTTTGCTCTGGACAGGAAGGAGAATGTGCCTAGGTTGCCCAGACCATGCCAGTCTCACAAATCTTGGAAATTGCTTCTTAAGCAGGGGTGCCTGATGGGGTGCCATGATGCTTGCAGATTTTTCCATCTCCATATTGAAGAAAACATTAGGAATGGAGCAGAAGCATTCCCCATCCCTAACTCCCTGGCCCCATTCTGAAGTTGCTGCTTTTAGTCATGTACGGGCTAGAATATGGTACTGACATGCTTTTAAAATCTCTTCTAAATTAAGAAGAAAATATATACAGAGTAGTGGCCAAAAAAATCTCCTCTAAGTAATCCAGGTACAGTGATAGACCTTGTGCAAGTAACCTAGCACAGTGTTTGGCATAGAGCAGGCAGCTGATACCTGTTAGTAGCCCTTGAAGGGTATTTAAAAAGAAATGAATGAATACTCCATGATCTCAAATCCTTTATCATTTTGAAGTTGAATAATTATTTTATAATATAATGTGAAAACTGATGAACTTAAGGTAATGTTAAAATTGCCAGTATCAATAACACTTTTCAATTTGTTATTTTATCTAACTCATATTTATCTTTGATACTAATATATGGGTTATCTTGGCTACTTTTTAATTTTTTTCTTTCTGCATTATGCCTTTTTGCCTATTATTACTTATTAATATATTGATAGAAAGTGGAAAGGAAAATTGAGAAGAAAAGTGATTTAAATTTATCATTTACAGCTAGTGTTGATTATTCTATCACATTAGTCATGAGCACTGCTTTCTACACTAGAAAACATAAAGAGTTAAACGAACAGGTTAAATTAAAATTGTAAAAACTAAAAGGCTTTGATACTCATATTAATACCTTGATACTCATGTTTCAGCATTATTGTGAAAAGTTTTAAAATAGCCCTGTTTATAATGAAGCACTCGTTACCTGTAATAATGAGCCATTCCATGAGGTTTTAAACAAACTACTTTACTACAGATTGCATTTTCCCTCCTCATCCCCTGCCCCTTCCCCTGACACACTCTGACCTCCTGTAGGATTTGTATTACTGCCCCCCCACACAGTGCAGGAAGCTGGAAAAGGAAGCTGAGGAATGCTGCTGCTCACACAGTTCCCCGTGAGAAGCTGTAGTTCATAGTCTGCTATAAACACCACTTTGAAAACTTTTTACTAAATTTATTTTTAAACAAATGTTTATTCTAAATTTGCCTTGATCAGAGATAACTAATATCATTTCTTTAAATATTGCTGTTTTAAAGAGAAACAAATCATTCTTTGATCTGCTTCCATTTCTTCATGTTTGTGTCTGTTGAGAGAAATGCCTTTATTTAGTCTTTATGTTTGAAAGTCTTTTTCCCTTTTCATCTTTCACTTTCATTTTTATAGGCAGTTGCTATAATTATAGCTAGATAAACAAAAAGTGAAAAATCCACTTTGATAAATAGAAATCAGAGTATTAGTATTTGGTGTTTTGTTTTGTTGTTTTGTTGCTTTGTTGGAAATACCTGCATTGCGTAAGTATCAAGTACATGTGAGTTAGACAAAACAGTTTTTGGGGTTTACAAATTTTTTAGGTCTTTCCTCCCTCCCTTCCTCCCTCCCTCCCTTCTTTCTGTCCTTCCTTCCTTTCTTCCTTCTTCTTCTCCTTCTTTCTTCCCCCTCTGTCCCTCCCTCCCTTCCCTCCCCTCCCTCTCCTCTTCCCTTCTTCCCTCCCTCTCTCCCTCCCTCCCTCCCTCCCTCCCTCCCTCCCTTCCTTCCTTCCTTCCTTCCTTCCTTCCTTCCTTCCTTCCTTCCTTCCTTCCTTCCTTCCCTCA